TTCGCCCTAGGAGTTGGACGACGCCACTTATAGTGCTGCGTCATTCGCACTTGCGCGAATCTTGATCTCGGTAAATCCATCTCATGTTTTCTTACCCTCGGGGTTCCCGCAGATTACGTCGGCGATACGACCGTTACTCCTTCTCCTGACCCCTCCAGAGACTGGGTCTGTAGATCAACCGCGTGATTTTCTGCCGATATTTGAAGGTCTTCTCGCACTTACAAACCTTGCATCGTCTCCTGATAGGAACGCCGGGGCAACCATTGTTCGCGCCGGGTGGTCGACCATTGAGGACCTACTTTTGTCAAATCACAGCTACATTCAACGCGCAGCTTGCGAACTCGCCTGCAATCTGATGACTTGTGAACAAGGCGTTGGGAAATTCGCGGATGGCTCAGCGCGTGCGAGTCAACGTCTACACATCATCCTCGCTCTCGCGGATGTGGAGGACCTGCCAACTAGGCGAGCAGCCGGTGGTGCTCTAGCAATGCTTACCGAGTATGAGTCGGCGGTGTCTGCCATTCTTGATCGTGCACGGGGTTTGGAGATCATCCTGGGCCTGTGCGGTGACGAGGACGATGGCCTCGTACATCGCGGCATCGTCTGCGTGCAAAATCTCGTGAGGGCGACCGGCGACATTGGCAAGCGCGCGAGACAGGGCCTACTGGAGAACGGGGCCCTAGATACGTTGAAGACATGCCTTACGAAAACGCGCAATCCCGCGGTTGTGGAAGGCGGAGTCGAAGCAGTAAAGGCGTTGATTACTTAAAAGCGACACATGGGATAGGATGCGTTTTCATTTCGGATCGGTATTTTTCTCCTTACTTTTCTCTTACACAAGCATAATATACAGCGGGAACAGGGGCATGGGAAATTGCTTACTAGGGATTATTTTTTTCGGCTTTCTTCTCGGGGCGCAGTAAATTGAACGATATCGCGTTCTACTACTAGGGGCGATTACGTCTCCATCTTTTGAGGTTGGGTCGGGTTGTGCTTTTCGGCGCTCGGATCAGTGGGTTCTCACATCTTCGCTTGGCTTCCTTTTGTTTCTCTTCTTCTCTTTCTTCCGTGGGTGTACGCGATGGGGCAGTTATTTTTTTGGTCGCATTGGTTTTGCGTGCCCGAGGACTTTCATAATACGGATTATTACTCCAGTTGTCCAACCTCGTTGAATGGGTGTTCTTTATTTTAGATCAGTTTGTGTCGGGATTTATCGCATTCACAATATCGGACAATACTTATTGAGCTCCCTATCTCGGAGCCTTCGTTGGAGGGAACGTGTCATGGGCTGCTATAATATCGAACCGAACCAAGCAGGGGGCCAAGTATCATGAATGCACCAGAATCTCGCCATTTAAAATGCAAAAGCAGGAGTCATACGGAGTCAAATAGTTGAATTCCTCGCGACTCCCAATGAGTAATGAGCTGCTCTTCGGGGCTCTGGTCCCACGCAGTGACGCAGCACAGGCCCACTGACCGAGTTGATGGGTACATCCATGTCATTACTATTGGCTAGCGCCGGGTGACGGGTTTGTCCAACGGGGGACGAGCCTGCAGGCACGCCGAATTCCTTTTTTTCGTATCCATGAACTACGTTCCCCCGTTGAGCTTGCGAGAAGTGAAAATGGCCCGATGGCTGGTCCGGCGCGAGTCACGAATATTTTCATGGGCTGCAGTTTGGGGGAGGGGGTGTGCAATCCTACCTATGCTTGGTTGAAACTGGGGATGGTTTATCCTCTACGGAGTTACGAGTAGGATATCTTCATATTGAGGACCTTGCTCAGCGCCAGAACCAACGGTCAAAGCTCGGCAAGGGGGTCACTTGAACTGCAGCGTCAGCTCCACCAATTAAACTGCAATACAGACGCGTGTGACCGACTCGTTAATAAGCAGCGCTAGTGCAGGCGCTACGTCATGTGACTCGACTAGTCCTACTCCGTATGCTTAGGTCATCTCCCGAACAGAGCAACGACGTCAGAAGGGCTGTGTCCATAACAACCTTGACCAGGGCCGGGCAGGGGCCCCTCTTTCCTCTTCTTTGTTCCGCCCGCACAATCTCGCCAAGCAGCCCTCCGCTCCAATCATCTCTGCACATGAGCCACGTTGGATCCACTTTACAACCGGGAGCCGCTAGCAAACCAAGCTTTTCCGGGCGGCACTAGTGAAACTCCGGAAATATCCCTTTCACCTCATTCTTCACTTCTGACATTACTGACTTCCTGCAACATCCGCGACTTCACCTCCTTTGAGCGAGAATCATTCAGATTTTCCCTGATGTTTTGACCCAGCCCTGTCTCCAATGGCGCCTTCAACTCTCTTCTCGTCTCCTCTCCTTTCGTTCCGGGTCCGATTACGTCGATCTTCTTTCGTTTGAGGACGTGCGATAAGAGATTACTTCCGGATTTGTCTCTGTATTATAGTGCCTCGACGCCACGGCTTTTACGTTCTTTCAGGCAGATTTCGATACTGTTCTTTTATCCGCTTGCTCTCGGGTTGAAGGTGATCTTCGACGATTCTGTCGACGGTTGCCCTCTCTTTTCCTTTTTTTTTTTTTGACAAGAGGAGAGATATAACACGTTGTGGAATAGCAAAATAGCACAGACAAGATGAAGTTTGGGAGGAATTTACCCCGTAATATGGTGCCGGAATGGAGCGCCAATTACATCAAGTACAAGGCGTTGAAGAAATTTATCAAAGTGGCTATTGCGGCAAAGAAAGCCGGGGAGGAGCCTGATTTGGCCGGTAAGAATTTACGCCGGGCATGATTTCCGAAAATGCAAGAGCTGAGTTTGCTAACAATGCCGTATCATTGCAGGTTTCTTTTACTCCCTCGATCGAAACCTCGAAGATGTGGACCACTTTTACAACAAGAAATTCGCCGACTGCTCCCGCCGGCTTAAACTGCTGGAAGATCGCTTCGGTCACTCTGTCATGACTTCACAACGGCTTGATGGGGAAGACTTAGAAGATCTACTCGCAGCGCTGCTGGAACTACGGGGCCAGTTGAGAAAGCTCCAATGGTACGGCGAAGTGAATCGCCGCGGCTTCATTAAAATTACGAAGAAGTTGGATAAAAAGCTTCCCGGTGCACAAGCACAGATGCAATATCTACCAACCAAGGTCGACCCTTCTCCGTTCGCGACCAACTCCCGACTCACAACTTGCATGAAACGGGTCAACGATTGGCTATCAGTGCTCGGGGATGAAAAGGCCTTGGATGATGCCAGTTCTACCCACTCTTCTCTCTCTTTGAAAAGGGTGCCTTCCCGCCAGAACTTGAATCTTCCCGCAAGTTTGCTTCAGGCAGTGGATGAGGCTCTTCGAAAAGATGACACACATATCCTTTTGGAACTACTTTCAGACCCTGAAGATTGCTGCAGATGATTTGGGCGATAATGTATACCCCAAGGTCTTGAAATCACTTCTGCAGCGGTCGATCTTCAATCGTTCGAAAGCATGTCTCGTCTCGATACTCGGAAAAATTGATAATCTAGATGAAGAGGAAGATATCAACAAGCGAAATTGTATTCACCGTTTAGTGATCTCTATTGGAAGATCGCAGACAACCGCGGATGCAGAACAGTCTGCTTCCATGGTTCTTAACTTCCCTGTTGACAACTCGAATTACATTACCCCGGCAGCCCCTCCGTCCCTTGTACCCATGATATCAGTGACAAAGGAAGCAAACCAAACTACAATTTTGAGGCGGAACGATCCTTCTGTGTCATTTCTCGCTTATTTATTAAACAACCTCCGCCCTCATCAACGCTCTGCTCTCATAGCTAAAGATATTTCTGGGCGCACGCCTTTGCACTATGGTGCGCAATACGGATTCAAGGTTGTGTGCGAAGTCATCATCGAACACCTACAAGCCTGGGATATGTTTGATGTCTCTGAGGGGATTGATGGCCCGAAGTGGCAAGACGAGGAGGGGTGGGCTCCCCTTCACCTGAGCGTCGTTGGTGGCCACCCTCTTACGACTCGAGCCCTTCTCGATGCCGAAAACTGGAGGGGCCAAAATGAGGAGAAAGCGGCTATCCGCAAACATGTTTCAAAATCCAGTGCTGTTCTCGCTTTAGCCACCAAAGCAAACTTTGTTGATATTGTTCAACTCCTTGTCCATGCCGGGGTGGATATCAATTATCAAGACGAGCAAGGTGAAACTGCATTGCATGTTGCCGCTCGCTTTGGCCATGATAAATGCGCAAAGGCTCTTCTTGACGGTACTGATGATCAGAAGGCAAATACGGAGCTTGCGGAAAACACTTATTCGTGGACACCTTTGTTTATCGGTTGCGTCGATGGCAATATCAATGTCGTCCAGCTCCTGATTGATGCGGGGGCTGACCTTGAGAGGCCTGACTCTTCTGGTTGGACTGCTAAAGAACACGCTGCCTTGAGAGGACACATTGCCATTGCTAAGCTTCTGGCAGAAGCCACGTCCGCACCTGACTCTGCCAGTGAGCTTGATGTTTCCCCTCCGGCGACCCTCTCGTCGTCTCCGCCTCTACAATCTTCCCTTGCCGATCGCAAATCTAATACCAATGGAAACGGTAGGCCTGCGGAAGCCATCAAGAGCTTTGGCCATAGATATTTAACCGATGAGAGCATGGTCTTGGTTAGTCTTGGGACGATGGACATGAGAAAGCACATCCCAGCAGTTAACCTTGACCGTATCCCTATGGCGAATGCCCATCTAACACAGCTCGACACTGCTTTATCTATTGTTGTTTCTGCCAGTGGTGCTCACGGTGAACCAGAAGTCATCGACCTACCAGTACAAGAGAACTTATCTACAGAGCCAATCGTCTTCCACTCGGCTGATGCGAGCAAAGTGAAAATTATCTTTGACTTGGTGCCGACTTACGCTGGGACAAAAGATCAAATTCTGGGAAGAGGAGTTGCGTTATTGTCTAGTATCAAGCCAAGCATCGGGTCCAAACGCATCAGTCTTCAAGGTGATTCCACGGTGCCAATCATTGCTGCCAATACTCTTGACGTTATCGGATCCGTTACGTTCAACTTCTTGATCATTACTCCGTTCAACCACCCGAAAATGTCAGTCACGGAGGATCAAACTTATTGGAAGACGATGGCCTCGACGATGGTTATCGGGCATCGAGGTGATTTTACTTCGCGTTTTCATTCTCGTGTTGATGTGTACTCCTAACCTGTGTAATCTGCTTTAAGGTCTTGGAAAAAACATCGCTGGCCGAAAATCTTTACAGCTAGGGGAGAATACGCTCCAGGTGTGTTGCTTTAAGGGATCCTAGAATAGGGTTTTTCTAACCATAGCAGTCTTTTATTGCGGCGGCAAACCTTGGTGCATCTTATGTCGAGGTGAGTGACAGAAGAGCTATCTCCAAAACATGAACCATCGCTAACAGTTATTAGTTCGGTATATCTACCCTCACGATGATTCCGAGGTCTAATGTATTGAGCTAACAAAATTAGATATTCAACTGACTAAAGATCACGTTCCTGTGATTTATCATGACTTTCTCGTCAGTGAAACAGGAATTGATGCCCCGGTGCATACCCTCACCTTGGAACAAGTAAGCAGTCGAGTGCCAAATATTTATTCAAGCAAGTCTAAACAGTTCCAGTTTTTGCATATCAGTGATGGTCGAACGCCGCGCCCAATACAACTAACCAAAAATGCTCGAATTGCCAACCCGTCAGTAAATAATTTGCGGGAAATGCCATTTAGGCAGCGATCCATGTCGGTTGGCGAGGAATTAGGTGTGCCAAACCTTGATGAGAGAATGAAACACACAAGGGACTTTAAGAAAAAGGGGTTCAAGGGCAATACTCGTGGTAACCATATTCAAGCGCCTTTTGTCACTCTGGAACAATTATTCAAGGAATTGCCAAAATCGGTTGGCTTTAACATGGAACTGAGTAAGGAACTCTTTTCTATTTTGTTCAATACTAGTCATCTAACTATCCTTTAGAGTACCCTATGCTCCACGAAAGCGAGGAGGAAGAAATGGATACCTACGCCGTTGAGCTCAACTCTTTCGTCGATACAGTTCTCACCACCGTTTATGATCTTGGAGAAGGTCGAAATATGATCTTCTCCTCGTTTAACCCAGATATTTGCCTACTAATCTCGTTCAAACAACCTTCGATTCCCGTCTTGTTTTTGACGGACTCGGGTGTCGGAGCTGTTGGGGATATCCGTGCGAGCAGTTTACAAGAAGCTATACGTTTCGCGTCTAGATGGAACCTTCTGGGTGTTGTCACGACGGCTGAACCGTTAGTGATTAGCCCGAGATTGGTGAGAGTGGTGAAGGAATCTGGTTTGGTGTGCGTGTCGTATGGGATGGCGAATAATGATCCAGCAAATGTCAAGGTGAGTTCAACCACGATGGTCACGGGCGAATTTGAAAACTAGGTCGCTAATATGATATATTTGGCGTGGTTTAGTTACAAGTTAACGAAGGCATCGATGCTGTCATTGTCGATAGCGTTCTCGCTATCCGGAAAGGCTTGACGGAGGCCGAGAATCCAACTGTCTGATTCATCCCAATTTTCTCCGATGGTACGATATGGTAATATTTTTTCTTCGATTTCAGTAGTTATATATAGAGCATTTCCCGAGGGTCAAGTAACATTATCCCTCCGTTAGATCACCCTAATCAATCTATTTATTCGCCCCTAATATTTGGTTGTTGTCTTATTCGATCCCCAGGCCTTGATAACGGCTTTTCAGAGTCTATTGTTTAATGCTAGAAACCTTTATTATAATCCTCATACATAATTCTCTGCCCGTGCCTAGCTCAAGGTTTTCATCTCTCTTAAAACCCACCTCATCAGCTCCTCTAATAAAATCCGAGTTCGGCATACGATAAGGCCAAAATGATTATCTTTTTACCAAGAACCTGAAAGTCCCTACATTGAAGCAAATAGCATTAATATCAGGATCTAAAACCCACTAACCCCTGATTTTTCAACTTTTCCAAAATCCCGTCAGTATCGCATGCCAAAGTCTTTGTAGCTATCCCGAACCATTCCTCACATTAAACATCCATCTTTAATACTTGAATGGAAATCGCTCATTGCGACGCGGTGTCTCCTCGCTCCGTTTGTTCTAGGAGAAGCGAGCGAACCCGTGCTGTCACGTATTTCGAAAACCTCCACGATCCATTCATACCACACCCTCCTGTTGTCTGTCTGTCGGTACATTGTCACAACCACCTCAGAGTTCTCGGGGACGTGCAGGGGTGTCTGTTTCATTTTAAAATAGTCATTAGATTAGCTGAACCGCGCCTTTGGATGGCTGTATTCATTTTCGAAATTGCGAAAACTCACCTTCAACGGAAAATAGATTGGAAACCAGCTTATCATCCCTTCGCTCTTTGCGTCCATGGTCACTGGGTTTGTAGACAATTCCACACCATCGTACAGCACGGTTTCAAAGTATCCGCCTAGGCCGTGACATACACCACGCTCCCGACAGGGGAAAGTAAGCCGTGTTTGGCGTACATTGTGCTCGTTTGAGAGAACAGACGATGACTTCGAAGGTGGTGGTATATTATTGTTGGGGTGCGAGAAGGACCATGCTGTTTGAACGATTGGGGCTGGTCTTTCTAATGTGGGCGGGGGTGTTGGTGTCTTTGGGAGTTTGTTTGAGGATGAAGAAGAAGTTTGGCTTGCTGAAGGTTTTGGACTGACCGTTCCTGAGGTGGATTGAACCGTGGACAGAAAATCAAAGGCGTGAAGCATGACAACATATGGTGTCTCAGGGGCTGCTGGGTTCGAGATACTTTGCGCAGTGACGTCCGCATGAAGCCGGGGCGAGGATATGGGCGTAAGATGTGCGGTGTATGAAGCTGGAATCGAGATCCCATGGGATAAATTCAGAAGATGGGTGACACCGTCGAGACATTCCGGGGATAACTCGTTGTCTCCAAAAGATCCAAGGAGCTCAGAGACTAGGATATCAACAGGGTAATATGAGACGGAATCGTCACCGGGGCCTGAGTTATCTTGCACGTTCGTGTCCTGTGCGGCCTCACAACAAGGTCCTTTCCAGCTTCGCATATCAGATTGGACCAGGTTTACACAGTCTGCCCACGCGGTCTGGTTTTGCCGTTGAAGATGAAGGAATGCGTTTTGATTTTTTTCAACAGCCCAAATCTCAATATCGACACCCGCCTCCACACTTGCTCGAATCGCTCTCGTCACTAAAGGCCCACGGCCAGCGCCAACCACTGCTATAACAATACGACCATCTGGGCAAGAAGCCTTTTTCTCTTGGGTTACCCAGTCCTTTAGAGCCTTTTCGATGGCGCGCTCATACCATTCGTACTTGATCGGATCCTTTTCGAAAACCTCATACGTCACGCTTTCGAGGTTTACTGTGAGTGGCTGCAAGGGGGCTTGCAAATAATCCTGGTATCCTACCCCAAAACGCTCCATAGGGGTTCTGGACGGCTGCTTTGTTTGAAGATTGCGTATGTAGGAGAGATGCGGAGTTTGGTCGTGGTTCCTCTTTCCATTTGGAGCGGATCGCTGTGCTGCTTCTGACGGAGTTGGGGAGGCAGTATTCTCTTGGAATGGGTCAGGAATAGCGCCCACGTCACATAGTATAATCCATGGCTGCGTTTTAAGACGCATAAAACGAGAAATCAGCCCCTGGTGCGCCCTGGAAAGAACCGGATAAGACTTTTGGTTCTTTAAAAACGTATTGGCGTCGATAGTGAGGATATGGACCGGCTCAGAGAGCCACCTCGATTGTACCGGCGCGGAAGGGAGATACCTGGGTAGTGCAAGAGCTATGAATCCATTATTTTTTAGTATCATCTATCAAATACATAGATAGCGAGCTCGAAACATTAAGTTGTGCCTACGGAGTAGATTGGGTATAGAGGTATATAGGGGCATAAACAATACGAATAGGAAGGAGAAAAGTTCCATTCTTACCTACGAAAAGACGAGCATGGTATCTACAAACTCTTCTAACCACGTCCCAAGCGTCCCATGTACCGAATAAATCCGGCTTCATGGGTGCGCTTGTTTCCTGCTCGGGAAGATATTCCGCCCGAGCGAAAGGGGCCAAATCACCTACTTCAGTGGTCTCTGCACCTGAATCATCGGTCATATTGAACCAAATATGCACTTGGATGTAAGGTGCAGCACTCATGACCTCCTGTATTGCACGGGCATAATACATTAAGCCTTCGCCGTGAAGGCTCCCATGGTGTAATTTAGGTCCTGGGATAATAACGTAGCTTACACCACAGAATGCAGCATACGCAATCTCATGTATAAGAACTTGACGAGAAATATCCGCGATCAGGGGATCTGGTGAGCAGAGATCGATCCACCTGTTTGTCACCGCGATGACGCTGCTTATGGACCCATTTGGGCTTAGGTGAGAATCGGATGGCGACAAGGACGGAATCATAAGAGGCTTAGTATTTTGGGATGTAGCCAAAGTGCCATCAGCGTCATGCGCAGGCCGCTCTAGGCTAGATAGATGGGTAGAAAGTAGACCTAGGACTTTGGAGTGAAAATTCGAAGTTGTAATTGGAGTTGTGACGATATCATACTTTTGTGACATAATTAGCTGAGTCTCCTTAATTAGGACAAAAGAACATAGAATTGACATACGTTACTGTCGTGGGCCCGCTGGATAGTCTCAAGTGATACTGGTGCTTTGCGGTCGGTTTCGTGCTGGCCCACTACAAACGTAGTCGTCCAGCTGTCTGAGCTGTCCATACCGTTGAAGGCTGCGGGAAATAACGAAGTTAAAGTTGCTGGTCCAAATTTTCCTCTTTGAGCTCAAGAGTGACAGGTTCACCCTTCAGTCAACCTAGGGAATTGAGCAAGGCGGGGGAGGGGAGTGCTTAGTGATATAGCTAGTGGAAACTGTAGTCACTTCATAATTGCGTATCGAGCGAGGAGTGGAATGATCACTAGTTCAAGGATCTTCTCCGAGAGTCAGAGATCCAAGCTCGAGATGTGTTTTTTGCTTCGTTCAAGTTGAAGTCCGAGAATCTTTTATGCTGAGGTCAAGAACTAGTAACTAAGCCAAACAAGGCAGGTCTGGCGCGATAAGCTCAGGCTCGGCTAAGCTTCCTTCTCTGGTCTGCTTTTATTTTTTTATCTTCGCGGCGTCAACTCAACGCCATCTTTGCTGAATTCAACCTCTCTCGCGATTTTGTCCCGGCTCGACAAGGGACTACTGCCCATGGCTGACAGGCGCCTTGATAGCGAAGAGAATTCCCGAGCGAAACGGCTGAAGACCACCGCGTCAAACATGGATCCGCGCGACAACCCCTACCTCGCCCATATGTTCGAAAATGAGAACTCGACTAATGGCAGTAGTAAGGCGAATGGAGCCGCGCGGGACTCGCCGTTAGCCAAATTTCAGAGACACAAGACCACCTCTGCGATGGCCAAGGAAGCAGAAGATTCCAAGGTCAATCCTTTCACCGGCAGACCTGTCTCAACCCGATACTTTTCCATCTTAAAGACCCGCAGAGGCCTCCCTGTTCACGCGCAACGGTTTGTGCTGTGTGCCTTTCATTTTGCTTGAGCTTATTGATACTAATACACCTGTAGAGATGAATTCCTCAAGCTTTATCAGCAATCCCAAATCCTCGTCTTTGTCGGTGAAACCGGTTCTGGTAAAACGACACAGATTCCTCAGTTTGTTCTTTACGACGATCTTCCTCAGCTTCGAAACAAGCTAGTGGCTTGTACTCAACCGCGGCGAGTAGCAGCAATGTCGGTCGCCGAACGTGTTGCGAACGAGATGGACGTTAAGCTTGGAGAGGAGGTCGGCTACAGCATTCGATTCGAAGACATGACCAGTTCTAAAACTATTCTGAAATACATGACCGATGGAATGCTGTTAAGAGAAGCAATGCATGACCCGGATCTCAACCGCTATAGCACCATCATCCTCGACGAGGCCCACGAGCGTACAATGGCTACAGACGTCCTTATGGGACTTCTCAAGGACGTTGTCAAACGCAGACCCGATTTGAAACTGATTGTTATGTCTGCCACGTTGGATGCGCAAAAGTTTCAACGTTACTTCAATGACGCCCCTCTCTTGGCCGTCCCTGGACGAACCCATCCAGTAGAAATCTTCTATACGCCAGAGCCGGAGCAGGATTACGTGGAAGCTGCGATCCGAACGGTTCTCCAAATCCACGCAGGCGAGAAAGAAGGCGATATTCTTTTATTCTTGACTGGTGAAGAAGAGATTGAAGATGCCGTTCGCAAAATATCGCTGGAGGTAGATGAGATGATCCGCGAAGCAGATGCCGGGCCAATGAAAGTATATCCCCTCTATGGCACGCTCCCTCCAGTCATGCAACAGCGCATTTTTGATCCCGCCCCCGGGCCTCGAAAACCGGGCGGGCGTCCCGGGAGAAAATGCATCGTATCCACCAACATTGCGGAGACGTCCCTCACTATCGATGGTATAGTTTATGTGGTGGACCCCGGATTCTCCAAGCAAAAAATATACAATCCTCGCATTCGCGTAGAATCGCTTTTAGTTTCGCCAATATCGAAAGCATCGGCACAGCAGCGTGCGGGTCGTGCCGGCCGAACAAGGCCTGGAAAATGCTTCCGCTTATATACTGAGGGCGCCTTTAAAAAGGAACTTATTGATCAGACATATCCGGAAATTCTTCGTTCCAATTTGTCTACGACAGTACTTGATTTGAAAAAGCTGGGGGTAGAGGACCTTGTTCATTTCGACCTTATGGACCCTCCGGCCCCTGAAACTCTCATGCGGGCATTGGAAGAGCTGAACTATTTAGCATGCTTAGATGATGAAGGAAATCTCACACCACTAGGTCGCCTCGCATCGGAGTTTCCTTTAGACCCTGCCTTGGCTGTTATGCTAATCACTTCCCCCGAATTTTACTGCTCGAATGAAATTCTCTCGATTACCTCGCTTCTATCGGTTCCCCAAATATTCGTACGGCCTGCCTCACAACGAAAACGTGCGGATGAAATGAAAGCCCTCTTTGCACATCCAGACGGTGATCACCTGACGCTCCTTAATGTCTACCACGCTTTTAAAAGCGCTGAAGCGCAGGAAAATCCCCGACAATGGTGCCATGACCATTTCCTTTCCCTCCGTGCTTTGCAGTCGGCAGATAATGTTCGTCAGCAACTTCAACGTATAATGGAGCGAGAGGAGATTGAGCTTATGTCCACCCCGTTCGAGGACAAAAAGTACTACGAAAACATCCGGCGGGCCTTGGTCGCTGGCTTTTTCATGCAGGTGGCGAAGAAAGAGAGCCAAGGGAAGAGCTTGTATAGAACCGTGAAAGATAACAACGAGGCGGTTCTTTTACACCCGAGTACTGTACTGAGCTACGAAGCGGAATGGGTCTTGTACAACGAATTTGTATTGACATCGAAGAGTTTTATCCGGACAGTCACGGCTGTAAAAGGCGAATGGTTACTTGTAAGTCTAGTTCTTTCGCAATGCCTCTTTTGACTCAATTCGAGAATGCGCTGACTGTGTACTGTAGGATATTGCCCCGACATACTACGATATATCAGGGTTTCCTAAGGGTGAAATCAGGGCTGCTTTGCTTCGAGCCGCTGAGAGATTGTCACGAAAGGAGAAGATGCGTTCTGATTCGAGGAAGCGATAGATTTTGTCTTTTAAATATCGCATTTGTGGAATCATCAGTCTCCGATTTTAGAATAGAGTGATTGACCGACTATAGATAATCGTCGGAATGCAACTATGAGACACGAATGAAATGTCATTGCCCAAGGTCATTAACTGGATAGGCATCACACCCTGGCTTGGGTATTAGAAGGCTCTAGTTCACTAAGCACATTTGAGGTGCCCTAGTATGATTTCAACTCTTTTTGACGGTCGTTCATCGAAATGGGATGAATTTTGGAATTATCATCTTAGCCGCAAATAGCATCTTCCCCCCTGCAGCCAAATAAGCAAAAGGCCGACGCCGCGCTAAGCATATTTTATATATCAACATCATGACCATGCAGCCAAGCTCAAAACATCAGATCCAAACAGTCATAATGCAAAAGATGCCCGATGGAGAATGTAAACGGTTTTATATAATAACCAAGAGACTATGCCTATTCGTACATGTAAGGAAAAGAAGTTTTTGAACATGGGTAATAGAATTGCTATAAGCCATGGAGTGCACGAAACATTGGTGCAAGAAGAGCATTCCACGTTTGTCCGCATGGGATGAGCTTCGGCAGTTCAATGGTAAGGGATGAATAGGAGCATAAGAGGCGGGATTTAGGAGAGATTTAGGAGGCGGAAAGGAATTTATCGAGGAAAAGTGCGATCCGGAGTGTAGCTGATGAATGTAACTGCACGGTTTCTCACTCAGTTCCCTAGACTTTCAAGTTTGAAACTTAAAAGTCACTCTCTAGTGGACGTCGACTGCACCGATTTGCGAGGTTGCATTCTCATGTTGTTGCTTTTCAGGTTCTTCCGTAGGGGATTCTGAGTTGCCCTGCTTAAAGATAGAAACCAGCCGGTATTTATTATCTGCCGGGTTGCTGCGAACACCGCCTGGGTTTCGTCTCGGTGAATCTTTCGTCTTTCCTCGGGGTTTCCAGTTCTGTGGTCCAAATACTTTATCGCGAATTTCGGGTTGAGAGGTGACAAAACCTTCTAATTTTGCAATGACGGCGTTTTGAAGCCTGACCATTCCCTGCAATTTCTGTAGCTCGGCTCTGGTTGATTCTATCTCGCTTAAGGATGATTCATTTCCAGCTTGAGAGCAGGCGCGGCGAGAAGGCTTATCATTGTGATCGGATATAAGTTTGTAATATTTCATGTTGAAACTCTCCTCGAGCCTCAATCTTTGGATTGTCAAGTCATCTTCTGGGATGAATTCTTCGACGGCTCTCCTTATCGTGGGTTCAACATTTCGCGCAAATTGAACATACTTTTCACCAGGCGAGAGATCGCTTAGGCCATCCTCTGCATATATGCTCGCATCACGCCATTTTTGAGCCGCCCACAATAACGCCGGCCTTGCATCTCTTTCGGAAGCTGATAGCTGCCATCGGATCCCCGAAGACACAGCTGCACTGATGATAGAATCGGCTATTTCCGGTTTACTGCAGCATTCGCATAATATTATCATGTATAATATCAATCGCTCAATCTCGTGAACCGGGTGGTTCTTGCTGGATAAAAGATAGAAGATAACACGCATCAAAACGTGCCGGCCATTTTTCCAATTGGCCTGGAACGAATAATATCTGAGATAAGCGCCCAGGGTCGGGACAGTATCACTGAATCCGGTCGCTCGTAGAACATCAAGCCATGCATCTGCCCTTTGTGGCTGGTCAAAAGTTAAAGCACATGAAATAAGGGTGTTTAAAATGAAAGGGTTCGGTGTCGAATTCGGAGGTACGGCAACTTCTATTCCGCCGAATTTGGCAGAGTGCCAGCGCAACTGCAGATTAATAAACGGATCGGGATTCTGCAGTTTGTTCAAGAACTGGTCGAATCCGGACAAATCCTTGGTTTTATTGAACCAATTCAGTGAAGAGATAATGACTGGTACCGTCAAGGGGTATGCATTTAGGAAGAGAGTTTCCATTACCATTTTCACCACATCGTTTAGCCGTGCCCTACTAAACTGGGAGATCAGTATTTCAATTGCTCTAGGGGGTATCGGCTCCTTTGCAGATACAAGCATCTCTGATACCCGGGCAATGAGATTATCGAGAGAAATGCCCCCATGCTGATAGAGATTGAACATTTTCCGTAATTCGAATGTCGCGGCATCCCTCTGTTTAAGGAGCAAATCATGATCCTCGAGAGTGATATCGTCACAAATATCAGCATAGTGACCATCTGGGGTGTACTTTATCAAAGTAAGTCGCTTTCGAAGATATTGTAATTCTGAAAGCAGCTTATCTACGCTTATGTCGTGTAGGGGAGAATCGTAGGTGTAGAGCTTGCTCATCACTCCATAGGTATGCGCGATTGAAGGCCGTAACAATAACTGTATACCAAGCACCTTCATGGCTAGTAGCTGCATAGCCCTTATTTGCCCCGGCCGTAAGTCTGAGAACTGCTTTACGCAAGGGTTCTGTTCCATATCCCGGAATTCCTCGGTTTCGGGATCGCAAGACGCTGCTGGGTCGCTAGGCGGTTCTACCACAGTCGAGTCATTGTCTTGTTCCTCAGGTAACTGGGAAGCCTGACTCAGGTATCGCGCATACTCTGACATAGGGTTCGCAGCCGTACTATATTGTCGTCTCGCTGGTCGCGTAACACCTCGGACCGGCCTCCACCTTGAACGTGCCAACGACTCCAGTATGCGAAGTTCGTCCTCTTTCATTTTGTCCACTTCAGCCTTCACTGCTGCGATTTCCTTTTCCCGTTCAAGGCGTCGTTTCGTTTTCAGTTCCGCATCGACCACTACCGCAGTTGCAAAAATTGAGGAGGAAATCGTGGCAATCCCGTTGCCAACCAAGAGACGTCTACGGCTGGCGGCCGTGGCCGCTCGGTTAGAGACCGCATTAGAGATGGTGCTTAAGCACGACAAGCATCGACAAGTACATGTCGAGGATGTGGATCGAAACCAGAGGCTTTGCATGATGTTATATTCTTGTCATCGCGGTCGACTAGGTAGGTGTTGAACTCGGTCTAAACAGCTTCCAATTGACAAAAGTTGAACATAAAATAAGTCCCCAGAAAAGACCAGATGGGTAACACCCTTGACATCAGTGGCATTGATCAAATTGCGAGGGATGCCCAGCGTCGGCGTCGGCGTGCTCGGACGATATTCTTTTTCCAAAGTTGTCTGATCGGAGAAGTGGGCTCTCGACGCTTATGTAAGAATGCTTGTCAGGCAAACACTGCAAACATGATCACTCGCAGATCGAGACGACAAGTTGTGAGATTGAACGTGCTTTGGCGCGCAGCATTTGGAGAAGCGGTGCAATATCCCAATTCATTATGCCCAGAATGACGATATCAAAGACCTTGCTGATATCGTTATTTGTGGCAATGCCACTCGTTTCCGCGCATGTGCCAGAGGTTCCTGCTGACGCGAACCTCGACTGGGCGACAAAACATATGATAGGTACGGAGTACGAGACACCAGAATTGTATCTCTAGAATATGGCCCCTAGTAAAGGCTACACCGCAGAAACTCGAAGCTGATAACCAATTTTCTTTTAGAGGAACATCACATCGTTAATTTCGACGCGGGATCCTTTTTTGCGCTTCACGACTACGATGAGACTGGCACATGGTCTCCGGATGAAGTACGCAAGACTTACGGTCTCGATGACGAGTCAAATCGTAGCTTAACCGAAGACCGAAAGAGGCAAATTTTGACCGAAGTCTTTGCAATCTTTGACCCAAAGAAGACCGGAGTAATCACAAGGGAGGAATGGCTCAGGCTATCCAGCGAGGGCAAAAAGCTCCCTGACTTTGGCGTGGGCCCAGGGCATCATGGAGATATGGAATACGAATATGAGATTCACCATTTCGAGAAATACCATGGGGACGACGCCAGGCCAGAAGACTTGACTCACCCGGAGGACATTGAGCATTTCCGCAGACACGATGAGGAGGAAGACGCGCAAAAGAAACTCGATGAAATGCAGGGCATGTCGATAGTGGAGGCAAACATTCCTGAGAAGTTCAAGAAGCGCGCATCATGATTCTGTAGCCGGTTGAATCATGCTGTTGAATATTTTCACGCTGGTGTTGTCTATCATTTGCCGGCGATACCATTACGATGCATATGGATGACTTCTAGATTTTGCCCCCCTCTGACTTGAAGGGCGGCTCTTACTGTTCATACGTTTGCCATTTGGAGCGATCTTGTACATCGAGCATTTTCTGTTTTGAGACTTCCGCAGATTCCCCTATTGTACACGAATATCAAAAACGCAATGCATAACGCCGGGGGCGTATGTTTTAACCTTTTCCACATGTCGACATTCGACCCGTGGACGTGGAGAACCTGATCGTCCTCTATCCCCGGATATCGAATGCCTCAAGGACTCGATTTTGCGAACAATAAAGTCCCGATGTTCGTCGATACTGTCAATGCTAACATTTTCATGCACATGAATCCACCCTTGGTCTTTCGGGTCCAGCAAACGGACCGCTCCCTCCCAAGAACCTTGAGACGTAGGAAGTAAACCAAGATTCACATGGCGAATGCGCTTCCATGCTCTCCGCTTTTCCAATATCTCCTTGACTTGTGATAAAAGATCGACAGCAAATCTATTATCGCCGTGAAAGGCGACAACCCGATCCTCATCACTCAATCCCTCTATCAACTCCTCCAAGCCATTTAGTTGATCAAGGGAGTCAATCCGTATACTCTTGACCTTCCAGCCGTTCGCCTGACAACCTCGCTCTAGTCCCTCAATCGACCATCCATTGAGCTCCCATGCCCACACCCGCCCAACCCCCCTTTTCAGATAGGAGAACACAAAGTACCCAATTCCAGCATACATATCCACAACCGCAACATCCTCCAACTTTTGTCCTAGATCAACGTCTGTCAACCCTTCAAACTTCGATGCGGTGCCCAGTACCCGTGCCTTCTCGATGATGTTGCCGCGACTAAACATCGAGTAGAGCGGCGCCCAGATTTGAACGATCCCGGAATTCTGCACCGCTCGCACCCAGAATGCAGACTGCATATCAGATATAGTAGGGTTTTCCTCCCTTTCCGCCTCGGAATCAGAAGGTAAAGGCCCAAAGTCTCCGTGCAGTGGTATTAGACCAGTAGGACTCCGCATTCGATTTTCATTGCCAGATCCTCCTGTTGTAAGTGCAATGGGCGCATTGATGGCGATATGGGTCACTCCTTGGCTGGAGAAGGCAGTTGCTATGCATGTATATAATGCTTTCGACTGTTCCGGACTCAGGGAGGATATCAATTTCTCCAGCTGAGCGTTCGCAGTAAAGGTATTTTGAGGGAGGAGAAGCAGAGGTGGGTATATAGTGTAGCGCTTGGGAAGAGAAGATATTAAATCTTTGCATTCGCTCAAGTCTAGATGAGGAGTATAAGATGAAAGGAATTTTTCGATTCCGCGCTGCAAAGGGTTCATGCGGATTCTGAGCTTGCGCTGTGCTCGGCGGCTTTCGAGATTTTCGAATGAAACCCTCTCCTTGCCTAAGTTTTCTGGCTTCTCCATCTTTGATTGTTCGGGCCCTTGATGATCAGAGTGTATGCTTGAAGTGGTGGTGGGCATCAGATACTCCAATCGCCACGAAACTTGACAAAAGGCAGTTGATTCCTGTTGCTCGATTCAAAAGGAAAAGGATAAGTAACTAGCTAATTGTTTCTCATAGTCGATATTCTTTTATGGCACCATGGAAAACTGGGAGCGTGGGTGAGAATCATCTCATCAGTGTGGATCATGAGAAGTATGACTCTTTTCTTCAACTTCTCTCTACACTTTTCATTCTGCTATCGATTGTAGTAAAACCATGACATACAACCATATTGATGAAGCAAAAAACAAGGCATCTTATCCGCTCCACTGCACTTAAACCACTTGGTAAGCTCAGCTAGTGTTACATGACTCTTCAACAGTGCCATTATAAAAGTAACTAGTGTGCAAGCACCTGGCGATGCCTTTGGCGAACAAAGTGATGAGCGAGGATGAGTGGTGTATGGGGTTTGGGTGCTAATGATTATACTGTTGACTCACTATTCAAAGCCGGGTGGCCCTTGTGAGCTTTGATACTCTCGGGAAATTATAGGATCTTCCCAGGTCATATTTACGTACATTACAGTGTAGCTGGGAAATTAATATTTTACTCATGGTGGTTAATATTTCTGGTCTTATGCGCAAGCTTTGCATTGTATGTAGTGCCTTTGATGAGATAGAACACAAAATGCATATCTCATTCAACATCGCCTCTGCTTCATAGACAAGAGGTATCGCAGGATAATCCAATTGTTAACATAAGAGCCAAAGAGAGGCCTAAAACTTTAGATATTTCACTCAAAGTCTGGCAAACGCAAGCTCGTACAACCAACCAACGATCATCTGGCCATGCTTCACCATGTGATTGAAGTTGAGCTTCTCGATAGTGTCTTCGGTGGTGTGGATGTAAGGGTTGTCGTGTCTTCCGTCAGATTCATGGACATATGCTGATGGGAAACCATTTCTGCTTGCTGAGGCATGATCGGAGCAAGCGTAGCCACAGGTGTCGTCGACGAAGGCAATGTCAGTGTACTATGCGCAGAATGTTAGTGTTGCTCAAGAAGATAGGTATAATGCGATGCTCCAGAGGTGTCGATGTTACCAAGAGAAAAAAAAAATGAAGTGCGTTCATCTTACCTCCCTGATGACAAGTCTGGTAAAAGCTGTCAAGGCTGGAGTCGTGAAATCTGTAACCACACCAAAGGCTTCTGGGAGCCCAGCGCTTTCTCTTCCCCTGGTATATCCGGTCATATCCTGGTTCAGCATAGCCTTCACTGGCTTACGAGCAGCTCTGTATTGTCTGAAGATGTCTTGCGAGCCCAGCAATCCTGCTTCTTCACCAGCATACCAGTGGAATTCAATGGTATTCTCCCCTTCTCCCCGAGCGATCTTTGGGGACGAAAGAAGAACACGAAGAGAATCAAGGATAGTGACGGACCCGCTCCCGTCATCATCAGCTCCTGGCGCACGGCCACTAGGCTGTCTTCCATTAATGCTATCCTGATGAGCGCCAACCACAATGGTGTTTCTGCTCTTTCCTGGGATAGTCGCCACGATGCTAGGCTGGATGAATGAATGCTTGATTTTCTGGACAGTTGCACCACGGGCTCCGGAGCGCCTAACAATATCGCTGACTTGGTCGAACAACCATTCTGCGGATTGGACGCCTGTCTGGGCCCTATAGTAGCGGTTGTGGAATGAAGAAAACTTCTCCAGATCCCTCCTCATAGTAGCGGCGGAGAGTTTGGAGAACAGAGGCTTCACTTCTGCCGCATATCTCAATTGCGAAGGGAACTGAGCAACGATTTGCTCAGCGGCAACGGTGAAGTCGTCTTCGGGCGAGTCTGTAATGTCGAAGAAGTTGACGTCTTGCTTTAAAGCAGAATATTTATCAGACCAATCAAGGCTGCTAACATGTCTTCCGACATTAGAGCGCATGAAATGTGCTTACCTCCTTCAGCTTCCACTTTTCAGCCTCAGTAACCCAGCGAGTCTGTCCAGGTGCGGTTTCGATCAGGAACTTTTCAACCCCATCTGCTGGCCTGGCCCAAACGCCTGGAGATACGATGGCGCTGAGCGCCAACACAGCGAGAGACTTCATAGTTGAAAGGTGGATTGTTCAACGGTCGAGATATCCTCAGAACGAGACGAGACGAGAAAGCTGCGAACAGGAGTTCTCACAAAGATCAGATCTGCGGGGCGTGGGAGCCTTCTAGATAAACTACGGCCTCGATCGTTTCGAAGGTTGCAATCATCCCCTTTCAACCGTCATCCTACGACCCTTGCTGGGCTCAATGACCCTCCAATATGAAGGGACCCTGGTCCTAAGGCCGTCTAAAAGTGCAGATCATAATGGCTCTCCGCGAAATCCGACGTCTGAACGTTAACCATACCGCTCAGCTTCGGGCATTCAGAACGAAAGGTGTCAAGGGAGTGCAGGGTTCGCCCTGTAAACCAAGCCGGAAGAACTTGCAGACATTCCAGAAAACAAATTAAGACATTTGTTTGGAACCCCCCTGCAGAAGGTGGCAGCGGAGGTGGGAGCATCGCGTGAGTTCTTTTGTCGGGAGATACCTCGGATACACAAAGGATCGAGTCTCTTCATCTTGTGATTCGAAATGATGCCTGGACACTTCCACTTTTAGGAGGTGACAGTCATCTGGCTAGTTCGGTCGGGGACAAACTTGGTGTTCGCGGAGGTTTCAAACCTAGTCGATGCAAGATGATTCTGCAGATCTCCATGTATGAAACGGCAGAACGCGGAGGCGCAACGAGGATGTAACTGCAGGGGAGTGACATCGG